TGGGACAGTGTTTCAGAGGCAGGCACCATAATGCATCGGCAGACAGTCTTTTCTTGTTGTCTGTTTTTTGGGCTCAGACAGTTTGAACAGTGATGGTCACAGAGCTCGAGCATTAATCACGAACTGCGTGTTACACTGAGGCTGTGTCAGAGCTCGATTAAGATCTCGCTCATTCAATTAAACTGTCGAGTGAAGCGAACGAAATGGATTTAAAATGACGGCAAAAGAGAAAATCTGATGAGTTTCAGGAGACGTTTGATGCCGAGCTTTACACAGCGACGGACGGCAGGCTGATAAATATGCAGAAAGTAAACGGCCATAGGTTGACAGGCTGTTGAATCTTTGGCAGTTGGACATGCTGGACATGTTGCTTTTCAAGCTGTTGAGTCTGCAGTGGGCCCATCTGTGCTGTTCCCTCTCTGAAACTGTCGGTAGCAACATTTTTCTGTTTCTTAAATCCTCAGCGTTGACAGAGAGATGTTAAGTTGGAGGCCAGATGGGATGAAGTACCTCTGGGAGCGCAGGGGGCAGTCTTTTGCATATTAAAGACTAAAAAGAGCAATTAGTAAATAGGCTCATCTGTAATTCAAACAGTCTCCTGAGTCTTGGATAAATGAATGTATGTATGACTGTTTCCACGGTTACATAAGGTCGAGCTCTTCCTGTGCTGCTCTGAATGTGACATTGAGGCTGCACCTTGCTGCAGACAGGAAGTGGTTTCTGATCTGGGACAACGAATATCTCACCACGATCAGTCACAGTTTCCATGCTGAGCAGAAAAAAGAAAAGAAAAGAGGGGGGTTTAACCACTTAACTGTGTTTAACATCAATGTTTAACATCTCACAACATGTGTGTGATCTTTGAACACACACACCACACACACACAACACCCGAGTTGGTCATGTTTTCCACGGGCTGACATTTACAAAAGTTAATCAAACGATCTCATGAAAAGTAGCAGATTGTTGTAAAACCAGCTTCTTTTCAAACCCTGTTGAACATAGAAATGAATAATAAAAGGCTTGTAACATTTAATCAGCAGTAATCATTTTAACATGCACCTGCTCCCGGTTTGCGATGAAAACACAATTAAAAAATAACTGCTATTGATGACACACAGCTCGCCCCACAGCAAGAAGGTTCTGGGTTTGAACCTGATGGTTTGCTGGGGGGCCTGAGGGTGAATGTTTTTTGTCCCTATATGTCAGCTGGGACTGGCTCTAGCTCCCATGTAGGATAAGTTGTAGATTTTGGGTGTATGTATGGATAATAGATGGATCATTGCTAATGGATAATGGATGGATGTATTGATGGATGGATAATGAATGGCTGGCTGGATGGATGGATGGATACCGAAAAGAGGGGTAATGGATAATGGATGGATGGATGATGGATGTATTGATGGGTGATTGATGGATATATTGATGAATGGATGGATGATGAATCAATGGATTAACAAAAATCCACTTGATGAAAGTGTAATGAAACTTTTCATAGGTTTCATCATTGAAACCTTTTAAATGTTCAAAGCACTGAGTCAACAATGAAACAAAACGTAGGTAATCTGAAAAGACTTTAAGAACAAGACAAAACGTTTACTTTTCTAACCTTTAACCAAAACCATGATTACCGAACCCTTAATCTAAGTGATTAGCTTTAGCTGCTAAAACCCAAACACACGTGGGAACTAAGATATGAACCTCAGTCCCACACTTTGTTCACTCCGACCTTCATCCTACTTCATCCACAGTGTTGAGCCTGTGACGAAAAACTGAATCGCTAATATATGAATGTACTGGTCATAAACACTGAGTCATTCTAGGAAGCAGCCTCACTTCCAGGTAGTTCTGCCTCATTGTTCCTGATCACCATCACTAACATGTCATAACAACAACCATAAACTCCTGATCAAAACACCAATCTCGGATCAAATCACTTTCAGTTTTGATCATGTGAATCAGCTTCTTGGTAAATCCCTTCAGTGTTTAGTGATTCACCCGACTAGTTCACTCTGTACTGAAAAAAAAGAGCCTCATTACAATAGATACGAATACGCTCAGTGAGACAGAGAATCTCACGGTGTCTGCTCGACAAACATTTGGACACAAGAAACCTGACACACAGGCAGAACTGGTTGAATTTACATAACTGCTCCGGCCGCCCTGTGTTTGAATTCCAAACAGATCTTTTGAGTGTCAGCTCCTCTTTCATCACCTCGTAGTTCTCTCATCAAAACTGAGGAACAATATCTATGTATGTAAATAATGAAGATACTTTTTAAAACTTTTTACAACTTCACCACAAGAAAGTTAAATGAGCTGGGAAATACTGTTTTCAACTTTTCAGCAACAATAATCCAGCTGGACTTTAAACAATTAGTTTTTCAAAAGCTCAGCCACCCCCACAGCTAAATCTTTAACTACATCACCTGCAATATGTTGATGTAAGGAGGATCCTCCCATTGGATCCTTTGTGTCGGTGCCGCTTTGAAACTAAAATGTATTTTGGATGTAGCCTCTGTTTTATTTAATTATAGGCTAATACCTCAAATAGTAAATCTGCCTCTGAGTTTTCTCTTTTTACTCTTCATTTACTTAATTATTTTACATTCACCTTTTGATTGGACATGAATAAACACAGATGTCTCTTTTATTATTTGGCTCATTATTAAAAAAAAACACAAAACAGTCAAAACAAGACCAATGTATTTAAAATATTTCTTTTGTGGTCCTGAACAAAGAAATAAACCAACAAAGGCCTGTGATGCTTGTTCAGTTTGTCTGCCTCTTCGCAGTGAAACAGGAGGCACTGTCCAATCTTTGATCAGCTGTGTCCATTTATAAATAACCGCACAGAGCGCCAATAATAGGAGCAATAATACATGCCCTGCATTGTTCCTGGTTGCCAATGAGGATAAATAGAGAGCTCAGATTGTGGTCTGAAGCCAGCGAGACCCTCTCACAGCGACGCAGGTCCTGTCATGAGGGGGCGCACAGTCAGCCAACTGGGCACTTGTTTTACAGCGCTCCTGCCAAAGACACCTACTTAATGGCAGCAGTCATGTCACCTCCCCACGCAGCACACAGGTCACTCTGTCTCACACAAGCAAGAATAAAAAGAAAAGTGAGGTGGTGTTTTTAAATTGATGAAATGAGTAAGGGAGAGAATCAAGCAACAAAGAGTCTGTGTGAGTCAAACCAGAGAGTAATGAATCATATGAGGAGGCAGGTCAGGTGACACAGCTGCTTCGTCATTTAACAGGAAGACTATCTTACCTCAGTTTGGTTATCTGCTTTAGGAAGAAAAACTGGTAGCGTCATGTGTGTTTAAAGTTTATGTCATAAAGGATTGGTTAATATTTAAGTATGAGTGGTGTGAAATATTAACAAACCGATGTAAAACAGTGCGTAAGTGTGATGGCAAGCCTCGCTGTGGGTTTGGATTGTTTGGCTACGTACGCTCCTCATGAGCAATTTAAGTGGTAACTGCGACTTTGGGAAAACAGTGCAGGTATAATTTGTTGGGATAAATTTGACCACAGAGAGGTGAAGAAATTTAACTCCTGACAAATTGAGATGCTGTCATACAAGGAGAGACATGCGCTTACTGGATGACAAGATGTTTTTCAGGCCTGGATGTTTGTTTGCGTCTCTGTCTGCTAATATGCAGGATAGCTTAAGACCTGAACAAGTTTGGATGAAATTTGGCAGATTGTTAGCTCATGCACCGGAGCTCAGGGGATTTAATATGTCTCCAGAGTTTGATGCAGGTCTGGATTAAGATGCTGCTTAAAAATGTCTAAAAATGGGATGTCCTGGTGGCCTTTAGTGGTTCGGACCATCTGGCAGCATCCTGAGTCTCCTGTCTTCTCCTGTGTTTTCTGTCTATATTTGACAATAATGTTGATATAAAGATCTTAAGTCATATTGTTGAATAATGAAAATATTTATAGCCTAAATTATGTTTTTTTTTACAAGGTTAAAGCATAGAGATTGTTTTCCCGACACGTGACTGATTTAAGTGTTCACCAGTGATGCTGTATGAAATAAGTGTAGAGTCCTGGGCACTGTAGATGTGTAGAATCTCATCCATCTGCCGTACAGTTTCGTCAGGGAGGCTTCTGATCGGTCCCTGAATCAATCCGCAGACTGACAACAACAACAACCGCAAACACACAGCCAGAGTCATAAAGGATGATCTTCAGAGACGAGACGAAGAGTCCTGCAACAGATGGTGTGGCCCCCCCGCGGACCCCTGATCTCAACATCATGGAGTCAGTCTGGGGTCACATGAGGAGACAGAGGACACTGAGACACACTGAATCCACACAAGGTTCTACAGATGTTGGAACAAGCTCTAAGTCACCTGCCAAGGACTTTGAAAAACTGTGCACTAAGGAGAACCGGCACTTTTATGAAACCATAAGTGATCCATGAATTATTCTCTTAGAAATCAATGAAAATGTTCATAAAGCTCTAAAACAACAGTGTTTATTTTAAAAAGGCAAAGAGGTAATGATGTCTGATCTACTGAGCGGCCACATGGCTTTCATAATACTGCCATACAAGCCAGTAGCCAGTCACATTTACCTTTAGCCTCAGCGTACCACCTTATAAAGACCTGAAAAGTGTTAGAAAAGCACAATTATGGATGTAAACAATTCATACAATAATAATAATGATAATAATAATAATAATAGTTGTCAATGTTGTCCGTCTAATATAATTTTACTTTACTTTGCCACTACGAGTGTTCTTTTAAGCGTCCATGTACAATTGAGACTTTTACGAGCCGCACGTGAAGGCACCGCGTCGTCCTCCTCGAGCCTCCCGGGGAGACTTTTGATTGGCTGCCAGTGACATCATCGCTCCTTGTACTACTCAAGTCCCGCCCGGCTCGGGGGCGGGGCCACTCAAACTTAATATTAATGAAGACGCCCATTGGCCGAGAGTCGCGTCAATCCCGCTGCGCGTCCTTCCGCGGGGCGGGCTCTCTCCCCTCCGTGTTATTTCTAAGGGGGAAGCAGGGAGAGAAAAGTACTGAAGAAAAAAAACAAAAACCCCAGAAGACGATGTGGACGATCCGCGACACGAGGATGGACTGAATGGAGGCGACGAGTGTCCACGAGCGGAGGATAAACCCAGCGACGGTCCCCCGGTAAGAAGGAGACACAAGTTTGGTGATGAAGTGTCCAACGCGCAAGTTTGTCTTTGAAATGCACAGTCATAGAGATTTCTATAATTAATGAAGAGGAATGTAGAGTCTCTGCAACCATTTTGGCACGGTCAGTGTGTTTTATTGTTATTTGCATTATTGTTATCATGGCGATATTGTTGTTATTATTATTATTTCTCACCTTGCGTTAAGAGTTTTATTCCAGCGTTTGTCTTTATTTCTTTTATTTGTGACAAAAGTTCCGATCCCTGCCTTTACAAAAATGCAGCCATTGCCTTTATCTTTTATTTATTTGATTTCATTTTCCTGGATTTAAAGCTCGGTGGTGTTGAAGTGATATTTCCTCCAGCTCATCTGCCTCCTCCTGGAGACACATCACATTCTGGACACGTTCTCATGCCGGTTTCTTCAATGAATTTTTTTGGCCATGAATGATTTCTGCTGGAGCTCAACCTGCAGCGATGCTCGGCTCTTTCTGATTTTTAACGTACTGACATTATTTTTTTAAATGAAATGCTCAGGCTGCTGATCAGAGGGAAATAGCACCCCATCCTTCTTCTTTTTTTTTTGTACCTCGACTTTCCTTTTGGGGAGAGACGAAACTGCGGCGTAGCGTTGATGCAGTATTTTATCTTTTTTTTTGGAGCTTTGGATCAGACAGAGCAGAGTTAGGAGGAGAAATTCAACATCACACGCATGTACAGTAGATGTGGAGGATGATTCATGTCAAACACTCTGATTCAGTTGAGACTCACTGTTTATTATTAGTGACCAGTTTGTCACATGTAAATCCTCCCTCCAACTTGGGTGTTGCCCTGCAGGTGATGACACCACTAATAGCCCTTCTCTAGTTTGTTGATCAAACAGACAAGACGTTGGCCTGTGTGCTCTCTGCTCCTTCATTCACAGCCTCTATCTGTTGGTGCAGAATTCATGTTTTGTCTCGTCCCTGTCCCCCACAGAGCGGCTTGTTGAGTTCTCCGTAGTCGTCCAGCCCTCGGCCTCCCCATGCCTCCATCTCCTCTTGACGACAGAATTGTGGTGGCGCTGCCAAGGCCGATCCGACCTCAGGAACTCCAACTGCGCCTGGACACCAGCTACCTGGACACCATCGCCAGCAGCAGCAGCAGCAGCAGCAGCAGCAGCAGCAACAGCAGCAGCAGCAGCAAGACCGTCATCAGCACCACCGTGGTGAAGATTCGGGCGACGGCCAATCTTGTAACGTATATGCCCTCATCCAAGGGCTCCACGCGCTCGTTGTCGTGTGGATGCAGCAGTGCCAGCTGTTGCTCTGTGACTACCTATGAGAAGGACAGCCAGAGCCTCAGCCACAGCCAGGTGAGCGCCAGCAGCCCGAACCTCAGCTATGCCGGGCCCCCCACCACAATGGTCAGTAACCATGAAGCACTAAGCACTCCCAGTCTCACCTCTGGCACCCTGAAGGCCGTATCCACCGTGAGGGTCATCCATCCCAATGAGCTGGCCAAGCGGATGACCTGCTGCCCCATGGGCCACCCCATCGGGCCCATGCCGGTCATCATCGACTGCCGGCCCTTCATGGAGTACAACAAGAGCCACGTGCGGGGGGCCGTGCACATCAACTGCTCCGACAAGATCAGCCGGCGGCGGCTGCAGCAGGGCAAGATCACTGTGCTGGACCTCATCTCCTGCCGTGAGGGCAAGGACTCCTTTAAGGGCATCTTCTCCAAAGAGATTGTGGTTTACGACGAGAGCACCATGGACCCCCACCGGCTGACGTCCTCCCAGCCCCTGCATGTGGTCCTGGAGTCTCTGAGGAGGGAGGGCAAGGACCCCATCATCCTCAAAGGTACCGTTCAAGTTGATTATCAGAGTTTGACAACTAAGGAAGGTAAAAAAGCTTGAAAGCATAACCCCCCCCCCCAAATTTTATGGGCTGATATAAACTCATGTGAAAGTAGCACATGAGGAAAGCCTGTTAAACTGTAACCTTTATTGTTTTGGTCAGCAGATCTCAGCCGTCAACACACTGGCTGTGGTTGTGTCATCCTGTTAGCATTACAGCAGTTGTAACACCAACAGATTTTGCTTATATAAAGGAATCCTATACGCTCACTCCGTCTCCAACACCCTCATGCATGCACACATGCACCAGCTTTCTACATCGCACATATTGAGCATTTTTGCAGCGAGTGAGAAGCAGCTGTTAGTAAATAAGGCGGGCCTGTTGAGATAGCAGTCCCTGGGTCGCTGCCATGTTTTCTATCTTTGGTGTGTGAGCGTGCGTTAGAAGCTAGAGCAGTACAGTATGTAGTGTAGCGGGGGGGCTGGGCTGTGAGTATTTTTTCCCCTGAATGCCTCCCAGTCTCGGCGTAGCTGTAAGATCAGAGCACCTTGATCTCCTCTCTCCGTCCCCCCGGTCCTCCTGTGCACTTTGATGGACGAGGCTGCATCAGCGTCTGTGTGAAGCTCGCCTCAGAGGGAGGAACCGGCAGACGGTCCCGTTCTTTCTTCCCCTCGGTTTAGGTCTTGCAAAATGCAACGCCTTCCTCTCCGGTGAGGGAATCAAACGGCTCAAACTCTGTTATTACAAATAATGTGTCAGGGATGGACAATATCTCCCATGTGTTTATATGTTTGATTGCAGCATGGACTTCCTCCCATGTCAGCAAACATTTTGTATTTAGGATTTTCATATTTCACCAAAACCTGGACAAACCAGCTCCAAGCACAAAATGTATCCTTAGTAATTAATACTGCTAATATTACTTTTAATTTACTTATTCACTTCCTTAAAATAACTGCACTCTCTAACCAGGGGAAGTGGGCATGGAGTACTGTTGTCCCACACATGTACAGTATATATGCTGCTGAATAATTTAGTTCTTTATTTTCTGTTACCAACTGCTCTTAGTCATGATTAATTGTAAATAAGTTCGACATGTGACTCTCTGCTCCACTGGAAACACACAATCTTTCCATCTTGAACCTGCGGCAGCACATAAGTCACATGTTATTCATCAGAATTGCCGTAAACAACATGTCAGTGGTGTCGGAGGGTTTAGGTTAAGTGTTGGAAACTGAGGGTCAGAGGCCTAGCAGTGCAGAGTTGGTCATTTCTAAACAGGAACTGAGCCAGTGGCTTATGAAAGTGATAGAGACACAAACCATATTTCCCTTTCTGATTCTGGGCCAAGATGATGACGGAAGGTCACGCTCGACAGATTTCATCTGACAGCGACATGCTGCTTCTGGAGATTCTGTTAATTGCAGTTTACTCAGGTTAGAAAAGTGATATTTATATCAGTCTGACCTGAGAAGCAAGATGCACGTTCAGTTTGAGCCAAAACAGGAAGCAGTTTTCACAGCGTTTTTTCAATGTCCTCATTACATAACATCAGTCAGTGCGTCACAGAGCAGTTTCTTACCTGCATATCCAAATATTTGTAAACACAACACTGACATATTTCAATCATGTTAATTTAGATTGGGGATCTGTAAGAGTAAGAGAGGGTGGTCCATTAACCAGAAGGTTGGTGGTTTGAACCCTGACTCCTTCAGTCAGTATGCTGAAGTGTTATTGGACAAGACACTGAAGCCTTAAGTATATACAGCGTTCTGAGTGGTTGATAAGATTATAGAGTTCTAATGTGGCTGAGGTGAATAAACATTAGAAAGTATTCAGAGTTGGGTTTCTGGCCACCTCATGAAAATAAATCCAGTATTCACTCTTTGAGTTCTGGTTTGGTCTCAGCTCTGTTGACCAGCTAGTTGCTAACTTCTTCCTGCTGAATAGTTGATTATCAGATCTTACACTGCTGGAGGCTGAAGTGACCGAGGAAACAATAAGTGCAAAGTTACGAACAAAAACAAAACCATGAGCTAAAAGAGACTAAAATGCTTCATAGAGTTGAGACAAATTGCTGAGTCAGGGGATGATTCTGTATGGGTTGGCTTTTTTAATACAATGGCATTGAAATATTAGTTTTTATATTACTGACCATATGAATACACTAAAATATTGATAGACCTTTGGACTCCACTGTATGTTTTGGTTTTTAAATGTGACATATCATCCACTAAAAGTATTATTGTTCAAACATGTATTAAAATATAAACATGGAATATATCAAAAAATGTCTGTTCAACAGCCTTCATGAATAAAGCTCAGTCTCAAAGAGCTCACAGTAACTGGACAAATATGAATATCAGTGGAAATCCCCCCTCTCTGTTCGGTGACATTGCTCCTGTAAGTACTTCCCTTTCTAGAGTCTAATTATTACCACAACACTTCACCGTAGCGAGCAGGGCCAGTATCACAGTATCTACAGATTCATGTCTTTGTTCACGGTGAACAATCAGGCTTTTTTTTCTGTTAACCACAGTTGACAGGAGATCCCCAGCTGCTCGGTCACCACGGGGAATTTGTGCGATGACCTCACATGCCACGATGTCAACTCTTGCCATGAAAAAGACATGAACTGATACCGTGTGTGTGTGTGTGTGTGTGTGTGTGTGTGTGTTTGTGAGAGACACTTCCCCCCCCCTCCCACCAACTCCTGTGCTGAAGGGAAACTTTGGCATCACTGGCAACAGGTGCAAACCAGTTATTTGGAGAATTGCAGATGTCCAGTGAGAATATATTAAACATTTACTACGTCTGTTTACCTGCGGAATAACAAGGGGGCATTTCTCATGTTGTCCATCGAGTGGAAACTGTCTTAGGAGCTATTTTGGCCCTCGTCTCTGGGTTCTCAAAACAGACATGACTGCGACTGACGGCGGTTGTTAGTGGAAACAGTGCTGATCCGTCCATATTGATGTCATATCCAAATAATGGAGACATTCAGATCACAACCAAATGTCACAGTGTAGTTGTGAGACTTGGGGATTTCTGTAATGTCTCAGTGCTTCAGAGCTCTTTAAAGTTACTTTAATCATGTGTCTATGCAAAGCTTGGTTTTGCTACTCAGTCGTAATGTGGTGGACAGAAGCACGACTGTGTGTATTTTTAGCAGGGAACACACCAGTGGGAATTGAACCCTTAACCCTGGCAGTGTAGGGTCCATGCTCAAGAGACTGAAAAATGCAATTTTGTGTTTGAACAAGCGCTGTGACATAAACAGAAAGAAAAATAAAGTAATTAAGAACATGCTGATTGACAGTTTCATGGATATTCAACTTAAAGTTTTAAAGTTCTGTTCGGCCAAACTGTGTTTACTTTACATTTACTCTCTCTCTGTCTGTCTGTCTTCTCAGGAGGCCTTAGCTGCTTCAGGCAGAGCCACGAGAACCTGTGCGAGCATTCGCTGCACCTCCGCGAGGGCTTCGACACGGGCGCTGCCGCTGGCCTGACGGGGCCGCTACCTCACTCCCTGCCCTCCACCCCGGACATAGAGAACGCAGAGCTGACGCCAATCCTGCCCTTCCTCTACCTGGGGAACGAGCACGACGCTCAGGACGCCAACCTGCTGCAGCGCTTGAACATTGGCTACATCCTGAACGTGACCACCCACCTGCCGCTCTACCACTACGACACGGGCCTCTTTGTCTACAAGCGCCTACCCGCCACCGACAGCAACAAGCAGAACCTGCGGCAGTACTTCGAGGAGGCGTTTGAATTCATCGGTATGGAAACTGTCACTCGCATTAGACGTTTGAACGGCAGACGTGTGACAGCTTTATGTGTTGTGACCTTTTGCGACAATGTGAGACTTGCAGGTTCCAGAGTGAAACCAAAGACAAAGTCAAGACTTTGCTGGAAGAGGTTGAACTTTCTACTGTTGTATATGAAAACAAGCAGATAGTAAGAACAACTAATACAAATATGATTGTTTTCCATTCATCATCTTGTTAGCCGTCAGATGTATCTTTCTAAACTCTAGTTTGGGAAGCACTAAGCTGAGAGCAGGGTAAAGAATCATGAATTACAATACTGTGACACATCATCATTACGAAATGAATTGTGAGGTCCTCCCTCTTTACATCCCCTGAATACAGCAGATTTATATTTATGGAAATGTATGACCAAATTGACATTATTCTGACATTTAAAAGACAATTACAAGTAAAGAACAAAGTTATAATCTTTGTTTATCTTAGATTTAAGTATCAAATACTAAAAACCACCATATTTCTCAGTACCGAACACTAACACAGTACCGATGGTCTCTTATCTCTGAATTCAAACTTACTTCAAAGAACTACAGGATATGAGTTGAGGCAGAGGCTGTGAACTTTGTCTCGTTGTTGTAGAAACTGTATTTGAACTTTATAAGTCACATCAGGCTAAATGCTCATTTGATAGCTGATCATTGAGCGACTTAATAGAGTTTGTATCGAGGCAGATACTGATCTGATGGACCTGATCTGTGTGTTGAATCTGTAATGGCAGCTCAGAGTTTTGTGCCGTCGCTGCATTGCAAGAAGGGTTTTCTGTCTAATTCTTGACTGTGGTCATTTCTAGAGATTAAAAGTTTCAAAAGGCTTCAAATGGCGGCTCGTTTTCTACAAAATATTATTTTAGTAATTGTAATTTCAAGTATTTGGCTCATTTAATCAAGAGATATCTGAAAAGGAGCTATAGCTACATTGTGTTTGACAGTGATAAAAATATATCAGGTCTGAACTTCCCCCTTGTGAAACAAAACATTTATTATGTTGTGTTTTAATCATTTTATTGTTCCTCTCTCCGCAGAGGAAGCACATCAAGCAGGTATGGGCCTTCTGATCCACTGCCAGGCAGGCGTGTCTCGTTCAGCCACCATCGTGATTGCCTACCTGATGAAGCACACCTGGATGACCATGACAGACGCCTACAAGTTTGTCAAGACCAGGAGGCCCATCATCTCCCCCAACCTCAACTTCATGGGCCAGCTGCTGGAGTTCGAGGAGGACCTGAACAACGGGATAACGCCGCGGATCCTCACGCCAAAGCTGACCGGTGTGGAGACGGTCGTCTAAACGAACCCCCTTGTCCGACTTGATGCTAAAACTTCCGCTCGCTGTTTTTCAAGAGACCAGTCGGTTTGGAGCGTGAGAGAGAAAGAGAGAGACGATGTGTTCTTCTCGAGTCTCCTCATGCTCATCGTTGACTCTCTGGAGGTGCCAAAGCTCTGGGTCAGCGGTGATGACAAATGCCAAAAAATCCCTGCTGTTTGGACCTGGACGATGTCCCGGAGGAGGCGTTATTGGCGAGATTTCCTTTTGGGACCGCAGAGGAGCGAATATGAGGGAAAAGAAATTCAGAAAAACATACTACGTGCTTCTGGGCAATTACTGACAAAAGAAAAACTCTTAAAGTTCACACTGTGGCACAGAGTTTATGTTTGCCGACTCAAGCTGGAGTTGGCCACGGCAGTGCCTGTCAAAAAAAAAAAATAGATGAAGACATGTTTGGTGTGTTAATGTTGTTGTTCTATTTTTATACAGGGGTTTATGGGGTGACCATGACGAGCCCACCGTGGCTCACTGTGCAATAATTTCAGAGTGGAATGCAACTGAGACCTTGATCTTATGTGTATATATGGGTAACGATTACGAAACATTTCCAGCTCTTTGCTGAAAAACCATTTTGATGTTATTGTGAATACTGTCGTTCAGTTCTGTACGTTTATGTTGATGGTGCAGGCAGTTATGCTGTAATATTTGGCGCAGATGTGTGCACGAGACAGAAAAAAAAAGGGTTTTATTTTGTTTTCAGTGAGCTTATGTGTTTGTCGGTCAAACCACAAATTCATATTTCATGTGTTTGCTTCAGTATTTTCATTTTGCCATTCCTGCATCTACAGAAGCATATATTTTAGCAATATATATATTATATCAGACAGCCATAAGCGCTTTTTCTCATGCAGAGGAGAGAACACTTTGAAATAATCAGAGAACATTATAAAACAGGGCTACCGGTGATGTTTAATGTAACAGAGCGGAGGAATTTCACTGCCTGCTTCTGTCTCCTCTGCTCTTTTTGCTTTTTGCTCTAATTCATTCATGGGCCAGCTCTGTTGTTACGTACCCATGTTACCGTCCCATTGTGGCTACATGTTACGTTTTTTTTTATCAATGCACTTGATTTTGATCCATTCTAGGGTAGCAGAGTCGAGGTGCACACTTCAAACAAACATATGCCTCCTCCCGAGGGTCACAGCTTTGGTTTGAGCAATGTGACCCTCGTTTTAATCTTTTGCAACTCCCCGTCACTGACACTAAGCTACAGTTAAGTGAGCTCTCCAGCCTCACGAAGGCGAGAGCTGCCGTCACGTGCTGTTCTAGTGCCTCTATCAATGCCTTAATTCATGTGTCACCAGTGGGCCTGCGCACGGTGCACCATCACGTGCAGACGGCTGCAGATCACAACGAATTTGTTTTGCCCCCAGTAAAAAGCAAAAATTTTCCTGCAAATCCTGATTAACATGCAGAGTTTTACAGAGCTGCATTCAGAGATGCTAAAAAAAAAATCCTTGAGGTGAAAATGCACATTATGTAACCACGAGAGAGAAACTGAGCACCACCATGAATTGTAAATCAACTTGGGACTTAATCGTAGTAAAAAGTACATGCACGCACACAAAGTTTACCCATCACCTGAAAATACTCATCTTTCACCCATTTTACACACAAGTATATATCTAGACAGACATGAAGAGGAAAAAAATCTCAACTTAATGGTGCAACTTCTTCATGCCTTCATTCTTAGGCCTGGGGTTTACCTGCTGTTTGACCGAGGGTACAACGGGCAACAATTCTGTTTTGACTGACAGACCCCTCGCGGCTGCAGAGTTATAATTTTTGTTTATAAAGAAAAAAACTGAGATTTTAAGAATGATCACGTAATTATTAGAAAGAAAAAAGTTGTAATTTAATGAGAAAAAAGTCGTAATATAAACCTGGCAACTGGCTTCTAAAATGACATGTAGCCTGAAATTATGACTTTATTCTCGTAGTATTTTGACTAAATTCTTGACAAATTACGACTTTATTCCGTCAGTATCATTTATCTTGCAATATTACAACTTTATTCTCATAATATTACGACTTTTTTCAGGTAACAGTACAACTTGATGCTTGTAATATTCCCACTTAATTCTCAGAGTTTTTACCTTGACGTGGCCCTAGTACTCCGTCGTCCTGTTCAGTTCTCTGTTGTTTTGCAACAAAGGCATAATATGAAGCACAGTGCTAACACCATCATTGTCAAAGAACAAAAAAAAAAATATCTCTGTGAACTGTTTTATCGTCTAAACTGAACCCAAAAGTTTCTGAATGAACGGAGTGGTCATAGCATAATGAACACAGACCCACTCAGAAAGGCTTTACAACACCAACATCCACAACAATAAGCTTCAAAAATCCCTCATGTGAAAATTCATGCTATGCAAAATGAAACTGTAACAGGTTGGTGTTTTTGAACCCGACTATCATTAAATCCCGTTGTGAGGTGTGTGCGAACATTTCGACGTTGAAGCATGATCAGGTTCGCAGCCTCGGATTGAAGTGAGTTTTACGTACGACTTATCGACAGGAACGTTTAAAACAAATGTTTGTGTGGGGGGGCGTGTCCTCACTTGTATTTTTGTTGCGGTTGTCATTGGTGTCTACTGGTGCTCCACGATATATTTGAATACGATAAAAAAAAAAAAGAAGGTATGTATCGACCATTTACCACACGTTTGTAGCTTGTGCGTTTGTTTTTAGTGATTTGCAAAAAAACATAAAGGAAAAAAGAGAGTGCTTATCATCTGAGCCGGTGTTATATAAGAATATTGTACCTTTTCCTCCCATCTGCCGGTTCCTACAACCGCAGCGGCACATGGCTTTTTTGTATGTAACGATCTATTTGACTGAACAATGTAACCGTCGTACTGTAAATTACTCTCTCCGGTTGGAAAAGAAGCATGCTGTGTGCTCCTGGTCTGTGAGGGACACTCGCAGCCGTTATGGTGCTGTCCGTCTTTCCCACACTGCTCTTTCTGTAGAGGTCACAGCCTGACTCACAGCTCCGAGAGGCGTCTGGGCCTGCTCCGTTTTATTTGAAAACACAGTTCTGCATTTGAACAATATCAGGCTGTGCACTCTTTTACGACTAGACTTGTTTAAGAGTCTCCACTTTGGGCTTCGCTCGACAAGTCTCCGTATCTTTCTCGTGTCTGTAGTCAATGGTCAAGTATATACAGTATATAAATATATATCTATTTTCTTTGTATGCATATATTCATTACTATTTTTGCACTGACCTACGGACAGATGGATTTATTTTTTTCCACAAAGGGTGCTATTATAACGGAGGCCTTCTCCCACACCTTTTTGCATGACTTGCTCAAAAATTCCTCAACTGGTCTGTCATCTCTCCTACTCTTCTCCTACTACTCCTTGAACTGTTGCAATTGAAGCACTGTAATTTTGTAATCCCTACTTGTGAGCTTTGAAATAAACAGGGAGGCTTCAAGTTTGTTTTGGCGTCCGGGAGGTTTATTTTCTCACGATTTCTTTCCTGCTGCAGAGGGACTCGTTTCTTTTTTTAGTTGCTCAAAGAATAAAGGAGAAATATGTTTCTGATTTGTTTCAGTGTTCTGGCATGAAGTGAAAATATTTTTAAATGTGCCAGATGTTTCATGTGGGACTGAAGTGTTTAAAGCGGCTATAACCAATATATTTATAACAATGGATCAAATGACTGTTTACTGTGTAAGGGGTCGCTCATAGTGATGAACGCTCAGAGGATTATAACTCAGCTCTGCAGTTTCTCTCAGCTTTATGACAAGTCGTAGGATCTTTCAGCTCATTATTTTGGTTTTTGGGTTCACAACTTCATAAATTTGGTTTTGGGATGTTTCCGGCAGCTGTTTTCAATAAAAAAACTCAAAAATCGGCCTGTTCAGCGCCAAAAAATAAATATTCATAGTTAGAGACTAATTGTTGAACATAGTGGAGGATCCAGCAGCTTAGAAGTCCTGAGAACTGGTAGAAGACCACAGCAGAGCTAAAAGGAGACTTAATATTGGACTCATATTCTTCAGGTGGACAAAAACATGACTAACCTTGAATGGCTAGAGCACAAACCTCTGCAAAGGTCCAAAAGACCCTACACGTCTATTATATATACAATATACATGAATTATTCCCTGGTAAATCAGTGAAAATTACAAAAAAAAGCCAACATCCACTAATGTAAAAAGAATAAAGCTCTTCCCTGACCTGTACTGCATCTTTCCACCAAGTTTCATGATTGTACGTCCAGTAGTTTTTGCTTAATCCTGCTGACTAACAGACAAACAAAAGCAGATGACATGCTAAGCTAATGCTGCTTCATGGCGAGATTGCCAGATAAAAGTTGATGACGTTTCCCCTACGAAGACGAAAAAAAGGTCAGACCTGTAAAATTTAAATCTTCAAACTGCTTCTTTTATCCGACCGAAAACACCAACAACCCCGAAAAATATAGAACTTGAAATAAAAACAGGGCAAAGCATTTGGAGAAGTTGGAATAAACAAATCTTCACCAGAAAAACAACAACAAATCTGTCGAGGGATTAGCAAACTGCTTCAGCTCTAGAAGAGACAAGGGACCTTTGTGTGGAATCATCCCGATGTTAAGAGAAACAACAGATTCAGAGATAAACGAGGAAGAGGAAGAACATTTCCCTGTGACCGAGGCCTCGTGGTGGAATCAAAGCCAGGAAACACCAGAAACTGATTATTGGGATCAATATCAACTAAACAAGCCTGACAGTGAGTATTTTAAGAGCAGCCTCCATCAGCCTCTTGACATTTGAGCATCCAGCAGAGTACACAGCCAGAGTTGTGAATTATCTGCGCTCCCCTCCATTGAACCATGTGTCACATAGCTGCAGGAGTTATGGGCCTATATTTACTCCAACTTTGCAGACGTCTATCGCCTCGTGGCTGAAGGGGAAGGGGTGGGTTGGGGGAGGGGGAGGGTTGGCCTGGGGGTCAAGATCTCTCCATAGGAACAGGCACAAAAATAGTTTTTTGCGTTGTTTCTAATTACGAGTGATGAGTGCCCCGCCTCATTAATCCTTTCCTATCAGCACTGGGCAGGCGGGGAGCACCAGAATAGCTCTGATCTTTGTGCTGCTGTACGCTGCTCTCCCACAAACCCTGCATGGACGTATTAGGCAAAGCGGCACTGAGAGGAGGACCTACCTTTCCTACACGCACACACAAACAGGTGTACACACACACACACACACACGCTCACAATCGAGTGTGTACATACTTGTGAGTGTGTGTGTACTGCAGAGGAGGCGGTGAAATAAAGCAGAGGATCTGTGAGCCTGCAGGACGGCTGCACTGGTTACCATCAAAGCTCCTGCCTGTGTCACAGGAAGATGCACTCGCACGACATCCTTACCCAGGCCTCGCTAAATGTCACCACAGCAGCACTTTGCACTCACAACTCATGCATAAAATAATGCCGCTTGTGTTGAGCAATCATTATTACAGAATGTGCCACAATACGATACGGATTTAGGTTAATGAGAGTTTAATGGGAGCACAAATAAAAGCATGTAAGAATGCAGAGGACGCAGGGCAACTTCAAGTGCTCTACTACATGATTACAGGGGGTTATATAATATGTAGGATTTTTTTATTTTCCATTTTTTCATGTTGGTTCACAATTTAATTTTATGATAGAAACATATTTCCTTCAAGTACACTGTGAATCGTCTGTCAGTGGCTCGAAGGAAGGTTGGGATCACCAAAATAAAATGATCAAAGAGATAAAAGGCATTTCACACTAAATGATATATATGATATGTGTAAATGAGTCAGGTGTATCACTGTTTACAAGCCGTGTCTCAATTCAGGGACGTGGATTTTGAGGACGTGGTCTACCAGGCCCATGATGACCGCCTCCTTCATGGGCCACACAGACGGTCTGGTCTACAGAGGATTTCCGTAATCGCCGTCAACTCGAATTTTGACCCTTGACCTTGTTTGGAGAGCAGATTACAGAACTGAAACTTTTTCCTCAACTCAAATCTCTTTGGACACTGGATGGGTTGGAGGTTAGTATATTCAGGAGCAAAGTTCAATTTAACTGAACTTTAAGTGCAGCCTTTTCCTCCAATGTGGAGAAACTGTGGCCGTGGGTCGTCCACCAAGCAGAGGGTTGGAGGTTTAATCCCTGGCTCCTCCAGTCCGCATGTGGAGGTGTCCTTGGGCAAGCCATTATTCCCAAAATCACCCCTGACAACAGTTCCATCAGACTATGATAGAAAAACTGCTGCTGTGTGAATGAATGAATGTGTAAAGTGTGAAGTGCTATAAATTATTGACAAGACGAGATAAGCGAGATATAAATGAAGCCCATGTTCCATCTGTAAAGCATTTCCTGTAAGATGCTGCACAAGATGACAAGTTGTCCAATGATAACTTAACTTTGAAAAAAGGCTCACTCCTCTTTTAGAATTACAACCTGCCCTGTGCACAGAGCCAGGCCAGTTTGGAGTGGAGGAACATCAACTTACTACAACCCCATCCATCCCATCCTTTGGTATCAACTGGTACGCCGACTATGAGCCAAACTTTATTGTCCGACATCAGTGCACGACCTCACTAATGCTCTTGTGGCTGAATGGCAGCGAAACCCTGCGACCGGGTTCCAAGAAAAATCTGGAAAGCCGTCAAAGAAGAAATAAGAGCGGAGGGTTTTACATCAGTGATCAACAATCACACGTGGGAGTCATGTTTGACCTCATAGTGTTACATGATCTTCATGTATTAGTCGAGGTGTTATCTACACTAACAGTGACGTAAGCCCAATGCAAATGAGTGTGGCCTGGGATTCTGTGCAGTCAGCTCTGAGGCAGTGATTATGAATTATCCTCCTGCATCACAAAGAGAGAGACCACAGGAGTGCAGGGCAGGAAGCAGGAAGCAGTGACGGATGCAGTTTGATGGAGAGTAGAAGAGGTCACGGCCCATTTCACACATCGCACCGAGGAGATTGCAGGAGGGCATGACGCGGGCACCACGGCTATGTCTCCGCAAATAAGCAGATGCAAATGTGCCACCCGCGGCGGAGCTGAGGACGAGGAAGGACGAGGAGCGAGGAGAACACAACACCAGGAAAAGATTTGACTCTGCAAGATCGAAATGATATCAGACGACGGTGATGCCGGTGGGGCCGCACAGAGGCGAGATAAAAAATAAAAAATCATCCAGGAGCTGCTGAGTCGACAAGGAGTTTGTTATCGCTCGTGGCACGTGCTGGACTTTTAAAGAGTCATGCCTCGATGCATTTCAGCCACACACTGACCACTGGGCGAGACACAGGCCGGGGGGAGGTGAAGCCAAAACCATATGTCGCAGCGTCCATGTGAGCAGCTGCATGTGGCCGTGTTTGGGATTTATCAAAGTCACTTCATCAGAAGACAACACGTCATAATCATCCATGTATTTACTCGCAGCGCTGCAATAGTTCTAATTTGCTGCATGATTCATATACAGTGATGGTGTAATGTATAAATGGAAACTTAAGATCATTCACATACCACTACCAGAGAGTCACATACACTCAAATCCAATTACTCCCCAATTACACTCTGATATGAGTAATGCAGAGGAAATATAAATATCAACTGACCTGTGAGATGAGGATGAGATATTTCAGCTAAATGACCTAATGGACTTCTATCGTGTTCCTTTTGAGTCTTGTACATGCATTTTGCAAAAGTGGATGAAAGGATGAAACAAAAACAGAATCTGATAATCATGCAAAGAAAAAGTGGTTTAATGACCAAGCACCAGACATCTTGTCCCTTACTAGCACCATTACCACTTTGAAAAACGGTTCACCAATGAAGAGCAATGAATCCTGGGATACGTTGGAGCGGGAAGGATCTACACTTTGTTTGTCAGGGATGGAAGGATGCATTTGTCAGCTTCATTTTTAGGGACCCTTCTAAACGGGACAGGCCCCTGAAATGAGACAGATCTTCTGTCTCCAAATGTATGAGATGGCAGTGTTCGTATTCTGGGTATTTTAGTTTTATTTGTGGATGGTGCAAGTTATTGCATTTGGCCGATGAGCTCATGGAACTTCCTGTACAGTGAAAAGGGAGACATCATGGAGGACTGTGGTCATAAACGGTTTAGAACAGTAACTGACACCAAGTGGTTTGGGATGATTGTTCATAAGGTGATGACCTCATCTGCTCCTACAGTATTTTAAATCTTTAAAAAAGTCCGACCTTTTCCAGAGAATCATTCATCGTTTATATTGAACATGGTCAAATCATATTTTTCCCTCTTTGATATTGAGATGAAACTAGAAGTGGAGCACAGAGTTGGAAAGTCTTTTTCTCTCTTGTATAATTATATCGTCTTTAAATACTGTTTCAAAGCCAGGAATTACAAATCTCACTCAAGGGGAAATGCACTCACTCGTTCATTCATTCATTCCTTTTGTTTGTCAATACCTGGAAGAGTCATATTTAAAGGAATCAAGCAACAAAAAAAGAAACCCAAAATTGTAGAATATTATGAACACTTGAAATATTTCCCCCCAAAACACTGAGACATGTTAAGGC